GGTATCCAGAGCCATGGAATGCTGACATCGGAAGGGACCTTCAAGATCATCCATTCCCAACCCCCCCTGCATGGCCAGGGACACCTCCCACCAGCCCAGGCTGCTCCAAGCCCCATCCAACCTGCCCTTCAACACTGCCAGGGATGGGGCAGCCACAGCTTCCCTGGGCAACCTGGGCCAGGCTCTCACCACCCTCACACCAAACAATTCCCTCCTCATGTCTCACCTCAGTCTCCCTCTTCCAGTTTTAATCCCTTCCCCCTTGTCCTCTCCCTCCCTGCCCTTGTCCCAAGTCCCTCCCAAGCTTTCCTGGAGCCCCTTCAGGCACTGGAAGCTGCTCTAAGGTCTCCCTGGAGCCTTCTCTTCTCCAGGCTCAACACCCCAACTCTCCCAGCCTGGCTCCAGAGCTGCTCCAGCCCTCCCATCATCTCTGTGGCCTCCTCTGGACTCTCTCCAACAGCTCCATGTCTCTCTTGTGCTGGGGACCCCAGAACTGGCCCCTACTCTGCAGGGGGGTCTCACCAGCAGGGCCAGGGAGGGGCCTGTCCCCCTCTGCTCTGGTGAGAGAGGGGCCCCAGCACATGGTGCCAGCTCCTGGTGACCTTCTGCTCACCCAGCACCCCCAAGTCCTTCTCCTCAGGGCTGCTCTCACTCCCACCCTCCCCCAGTCTATATTGATACCAGAGGTTTCCCCTGCCCAGGTGCAGAACCTCACACTTGGCCTTGTTGGGTGCCATGAGGTTCACACAGGTCTGCTTCTCGAGCTCATCCAGGTCCCTCAGGATGTCATCCCATTCCTCACGTGTGTCAGCTGCACCCCTCAGTCTGGTGTCACCTGCAAACTTGCTGAGGGTGCCCTTGATCGCACTGTCCATGCCACTGATGAAGATACTGAGCAGCACTGGTCCCAGTACAGACCCCTGAGTGCCACCACTCATCACCAGTCTCTGTCTGGACATTGACCACGACTGTCTAGATGCCACCATCCAACCAACTCCTCATCCACTGAGCAGTCCACCCACCCAATCCATGCCTTTCCAATTGAGAGAGAAGGATGGTGTGGAGAACCACGTCCAAGGCCTCACAGAAGCCCAGCTGGACACTCTCTGTGGCTCTTCCCTGATCCACTGGTGCAGTCACCATCATAGAGGGACACCAGGTTGGCCAGGCAGGACTTGCCCTTGGTGCAGCTGGCTGCTTCCAGCCCCCTCCTGCCCTCCAGGTGCTTTAGGAGGATCTGCTCCACGGTCTTCCCAGGCACAGAGGGTCAGTAATTCCCAGGATCTACCCCGTTTATAAACAAGTGCCAGATTTCCCTTTTCCCACTCAACCAGGCACTTCACGGGGATCTGCTCCGTGACCTTCCCAGGCACAGAGGGCCAGTGATTCCCAAGGGAATCTACCCTGTTCAGAAACAAGTGCCATGTCCCCCTTTTCCCCACTCACCAGGCCCTTCCCTTCTCAATCAGCACGGCTTTTTACCCTCCTCACTCCCTACTTCCCACCCCAGCCTCCCTCCTCGCTGAGCGCAGGCCAAGCTGTGGCTTTTCCAGAGGCAGCCAAGGGCAGCCCCCCCCCTTTCCAACCCAGCCCCCCCAGCCCAGCCCACGGCTCCTCTGCCCCGGAGGAGGCTTTTCCCCCTGGAGCCCCCCCGGGAGCCACACATAAGGGGACCTTTATGAGCCGCCCGCGGGCCGCGCACAGCGGCCGCTTTGTGTGAGGGGCCCTGGCACCAGCCCCGGGGACACTCACCTAAGAAAGCTCCTGTGTCCTCCGCTCGCTGTCCCCAAAGGCCCTCGTCACCTTTGCAACCCCCCCCAGCTGTGGGGGGGCTCTCCCTGCTCGGTGCTGGAGGAGGTGGTGGCAATGGGGCTTGTGCCTTCTCCTATCCTCGCTGCCCACCCCCACGGTCCCACTGTCGTTGTTGTCCCCCCTGTCCAAGGGGCTGGGGACAAGCAGCGTGTTCAGCCCATCTCCCAGTCCTGAACTGGGAGGGGGTTGGTCCTTCAGCACGGCCCCCCGGGAACAGTGATGATGGGAGGGATGTGGACACAGGGGGATTACCGGGGGTTCCCTGCGAGGGGACCGCAGCCCCCAGCTGCCCCCAGGAGCCTTGGCTCAGGAGCACGGGGCTGCTCCCACCCGGCGGGCACAGAGTGAGGTGGACACCCTTCCTACAGCCACTTTTTTGTTTTATTAGAGGTTACAAGATACAAGGAGCCAGACCCACACGCCTCGTGCCGCCGGTTCGCTCTGCTGTGCCCCGCCCTGTGGGCAGAGAGGAGGGGGGCTGGCAGAGCAGGGATCCCCAGGCTGGTCCCTCCATTGCCTGCAGGGTTTCCCTTTGTCTCAAGCACTGTTTCTGCTGTGGTGGCTTCACCCTACCAGCCATGAGCAAGCATTGCAGGAGAGGGATGTCTCCAAGAACTGGGACCACTGAGCTTCACCCACTCCCTCACTCCCCAGGAGACACCCTGGCTTGGCCCCACGCCCGCCTCCAAAGGGGATCAAAACTCATACGGGGACACAAAGACCGTGACCTTGAAGATGTGCTTGCCCAGGAAGACCTTGCGGGAGAACTCGCTCATCTCCAGCTCCACCTCCAGCGTGGCTGGCCCCACCGTGGGGCTGGTGAGCACCAGCTCTCCCGTCTGCCGGTCGGAGCGCCGCACGGCAAAGACACCCTGGCCCCGGGCACCCAGGATGGCAAAGCGCAGGCTGTCCCCCACCAGGTGGGTGGTGGACATCTTGAAGAGGACGTGGGGCACGGTGCGGTTGGCCTGGAGTGGCAGGTAGTGGAAGGAGATGGAGTTGGCAGCCAGGCGACAGGCTCGGCTCTCCACGGGGCAGGGGTTCCTCTCACACTGGCTGCCAGGAGAGAAGGGTTCCCACTGCTCAGTGCCATGGTTTGGCTCTCAGGGTCAGCTGCCCAGGTCCTTGCAAACAAGCCCAGCCCACACCACAGGAAGTATCTCCAGCCCCACTGCTGGTCCTGCAGCAGAGCAACCCGAGACAGACACATCCGAGTGTGGAATCTCTATCCCATCCCTTCCTCTGCCAGGTGAATGTCATGGAGACATCCAAAGCCTAGGGATGCAGCTCTGGGTCATGCTCTAAGGCTGGGATTGGGGCTACCACAGTCCTGGCTGGAGGCCAGGGATGGAGCCAGGCTTAGATGTGTCTCCTGCAGAGGAATGTGGCCGGAGCAGGGGTGCCCCTCTGCTTGGGTGGCTCATGCTCCACCACCCAGTGCTTTAGTCTCAAGAGCAGGACCAAGGGGGTTTCCCTACTGGATGGCAGCCAGACGCACCATATGGGTGTCCAGCAGTGGGGAAATGGCATCATTACCCCCGACCCAGGGCTCTGGAGGGCTTGGATAAAGCCACCACGCATTGGGGTGCTCCCACCAGCATCCTGAGACCACCGGGGAGAGTGCCGAGCACAGCAGGGCACCCCGTGGGGCAGTTTTGCTGGCTGGCGTTGTCCCTGCTGCCCCGGGGTGACACGCTGTGGCCCCGGGGGGGCAAGGCAGGACCTCAAGCTGTACTCACAAGGCGGAGGTCTTGACGTAGCTGGTGTTGTGGCGCGGCGGGGGGCACTTGGGGCGCACGCAGCGGTGGCCCCCGAAGGTGTTGATGCACAGGTCGCCCTGGGTGCAGTTGTGCTGCTTCCCGGCGCACTCGTTCACGTCTGCGGCGGTGACAGGGGGGGTGAGTGGGACCGTCCCTGCTCCCGTGGGACACCCCCGTCCCCCCACACCCCCACTCTCACCCTCGCAGGCGTTGCGCTCCGCCTGGAGCAGGTACC